AATTATCCGAGTTGGTACGGCGGTGTATACGATAGTAAGTGTATTTATACTCCCACCGGCCGTCAGATCTTTCTAGTGTGTATGATTAGTGAATGCGTTTAATATATGTTTTTTAGTATTATGTGTCTACATCTATCGGTTAAAAAAACGTTATACTCTATAAAATATCGGTAACCGAAGGGTAACCAATATTTGTTAGTGATAAGAAGTTGGTGGTCCACGAATTGGTAGCTTCACAGTCGTCTTTAATAAGTGTACATTTACTCTACATGCTATGTATTTTTTAATTTTTAAAGTTCAATTAATCATACTCATGATTAAATGATAATGTTATATTCTTTTACTTTTTAATTCTCTAGTATTTATTGACTACCAAATTAATGTCTAAAATTAAAATTAACTTTGATCCAAAAATACTAACCAACTGAAATACATTAACACTTTTGAATGATGGATATTCAGAAAAGAATGAAATGCTTTCATTGCTTTCCCTTAATTTTTGTTGCCTATAAATACTTGTTTTTCTCCATTTATCTATAACTGTACTTATAGGCTCAGAATTATTTTTGAGCCTGAGTATCATATCTAGAACTAATTTAATTTGGTTAAGATAGAAATGAGCTCCAAAAAAATACCACAGTCAGAAATATTATATTTTTAACTAACTATTATTTTCATTTTCACAAGATTTCTGGATTATTGTGACATTTTTTTTTCAGTTTTACTGTACAGTTGTCTAATTGCTTTTCGTATATTGCAGTATCGATCCCATAATTTACCCCTAGTCAGTTTAACTGAATTACCAATTTTTTGGTATGGTGAATAGTAAACAACTTTCAACTCGGTAAGAAAACAGTTGACAATATTAATTGAAAGTTGTTGGAGTTGAGCAGTAGTTAGTGTATGGTTGTTACTTGCCTTCACTTCATTATCAATAATTAAATGAACCATAATGTTTCTCATTTTTGAATTTAAGTCTTTATTTTGTTCATAGAACTTGATAACCATTCCACCCTCCTGCACCCAAAGAAAAACCTCAATCAATTTTGATAGAGAAATTTATCAAGGGTTTATGATAATGTTTTATTAATACGAACAAAATAATTATTCTTATGAATAATTATTGTTCAAGATAAGAAAAAAAATTATCATATTGATAAATTTATCATAGATTCAATAGTAATGATATATTTATCAAATTGAACAATGAATTTATTATATAGATCGAGGTTTTTCTCTGGGTGTGTGATTGCTTTAAAATTTTAGAGATCTTAAGCTATTCACTGATTGTATCAAGTTGCTTATTATTTTATATTATAAGAAGCGACAATTTAATCAAAAAAATAAATACTCAATACTTACTGTTGCATAAGTTCAACTAAGTAAAAGTTGGGGACATAAATAAATAAAAAAATTACTCATTTTTGGATTTGTAAAATACTTGATTAATAAAAAGTTACTATTTTTTTTTTATGGTTAATTCTTTATAAAATACCATAATAATTGAAACTAAAATATTGTGAGTATTGGCTGATAAATTCAAGTTTTATCGGTTTATTTTATTTATTCATTTTTATTGATTATGTTGATTATTATTCATATATGTTAATAAATTTGCTGAATAAAAAAAAAAAACTATTTCAATGTCAACTAAAATTTTCTATTACTACTAATTTAGTTTTTGAGGTATCTAACTAAATATTCATTTATAATAGCCTCTGAGTACATTCAATTATATGTATAATCACTTAATAATAATAACTTATTATCATTATTGCGTAAAAATACTATTATTACTTCAATTTTGATGTTTGTAGTTTTACTACATTCAGCTGTTTCATTCACTTTTATTTCAACCTCATGATTATTCTCTTCTTCATATTCAAATGTAGATATTTTATTTATATCACAATTTATATTACTATTGATTTCAGTGAGAGGAGTTTGGATTTCAAATACCTTAAATAGTAATACAACAATAATTTATAAAATTTAAACTAGTAAAACATAAAATAAATTGTTAACAATATAACTAGAATATGTAAGAAATGTAAACATAATTAGCAAAATATATTCCTCAAAAAAAATTATTTACTTAAATTTTTCTGTAACTTAATTGTTTAAAAATTAATTAACAACAAAATTCCAAAACGATTGTAATGTTTCAGTTTCTAAACCATTAACTCTTCATAACCAAGCTGTTAAATTTTATTCTCATGACTGGCATTACAGCTTTTAATATAATGAATAATTAATTATTATGAATATTTTGAAGGATATAAGTTGATTTTTTTTTTTATAATTAAAATAATTGTTTGATAAATGTTAATTTATAAAATTATGTACATAAGACATCAAATAGCTCTCCTAAAAATGTATTTTTAAGATGCTTCATCAATTAAATAGTCTTATTTTGTATTTTCTTTAAATGGAAGAAAAAAAGGATTATTTAAATTAGCTATTAATAAATGATTTTTAAAGTATAAAATGTTGTTGAATAAGAATTTTATGTTTAATTTTTAAATTCTTAAATTAAATAAAAGATTTCAGAGCAATAACATTGAGAAAAAAAATTTTGTTTTTTTTTCACAAAAATTAATTCTTTTATTTAGCATTTCAAAGATTAAGATTTAGGGTGCTCAGGGTCTAAAGTAAGATTATTGTTCACAAAATGATTGGTTCTGTGTATTTTTATGTATTAGAAGTATATTTAATAAAATCAACCTCAAAAACCTTTAGTTCATGTATTACTTAACTATAAATACAAACTTTGTTTTATTACCTCTAATGTTTGATTTTCGGCACTTTTAGATTGCAATATATCTTTAAAAATTTTGGACCTCCAACCAATTTTATGTACCAAATCTTTTAGCATGTCCTCTGTCAAGGACATGTATGCAATTCTATCGATATCTTCATTTAACAATTTGTGCATATTTAATATTTTTATTTATTACTTATGAAAAACAAGCTTTATTTTTCCTAGAAATGATTATATAAATATTTTTCATAGTGTTATAAAAAGTATTTATAACTTTTTTTTTTTACAGTACGAATGGTTAAGTATTTATTTATATATTAAAACTAAAATTTATCAATATTTTAAAGTATCGAAATTTGTAGGTTTAATGAATTGTATTATTAAATATTGTATTCTACAATTAATGATCATTTGATTTATTCCTGTGTGAAATTATTTTTTAAAAATCATTTGATTTTAATTAAAATAAAAATTTACTTTCATTGTTTTACTAATTTAAATATATACATGATTAATATTTATATAAAATTTAACAAAATTGTAATATTTCTACCGTTAATCATTTTAAAAGAATTCAAAGAACGATTATTTTCTCTAGTAAATATATAATGTAATGAATACTTTTCTTACCTTCAAAAGTTTGAATTAGCTGTTCAAGATTTAAATCTTTCAACTTAATTTGAGTCCATTCATCCATAATTGCAATCATTTTATAATATATTGTTAAATTATATAATTATATATGTTAATTATCAAAATTAAACAATCAAGGAAAAAATATATAGATATATAGATCAGCTTAAGTTTTCGTCGACTATCGTTCTCAATGAATCAACGAATGATGAGTCGTTCATATACATCGGCCAATAAGCTCAACGGCGTCTGGAAAAAGAGGCTATTTTTCCATCGATGAATTCAAGCGCGGTCCTGACAACAAACGTTTTATAAAAATATCTGAATAGATTTTTCCTGTGTACTAACAATTAACTCATTGTGTAATTATTAAACAATCAAAACCTAATAGCGCATTAATTAACATATTGTACAAGTTATAACAGTACTTGCAAACAATAAAAAACGCTAAATAACATTTTTATTTTATATTTGTTGTCCAGTTATCCATAATACTATGGTTGTATTACCTATACTATATAGTTGCTCTAACTAAATACTTGGGTAAAAATAACCATATATAATAACCAAATTAATTTGGCTGATCCAACGTTACTGGGTAGAATTACTGACAAAGACAGTTGCAAATACTATAATATGGTTCTCCTAACCATATTATTTCTAACCATTTACCATACTAAAATCATTTTTTTCCGTGTACAAACACAAAAACCTCTTCTATTTTTATTGAATACTAAATTGTAAAACATTTACAATTAATAGAATGAATAAATTATCTGCTTTTAAATAAAAATGTATAATAAGTTCCAAGTTTTTTGGATTAACCAATCATATATTTGAGAATTACTTTTTAAATGAAAATTTTTATATAATTATTCTTCAAAATAATTTCTTTGATAGTAAAAAACATTGTACCAATAATTAATTTTATTAAAATTGATGATTAATTTAGAAAAATGAAAAATGTAAATAAATTCATTTTGTGTATAATGTTACTATATTTATAGTAAGTTTAAATAAATATGAGTAATTAGCATTTATTTACCATTATATGACGTGTTTAAAATTAGATTGTATATATTTAGTTGTACTTATTTCTTTCCCTGATGAGCCACACATTTTGTAGTAATATTGTTTCATTTAGTTCCCTTAAATACAAAAAATATTTCACAACTACTCCAAGACAAACATTTGAATGTGAGAGGAAACAAAATATATTGTATTATTAAATAATAGTACATTTTGGTTGTCCTACTGGACATCCAGAAAATCCTCTCATTGGGGTATTGTTCTGCCCTTCCTTGGTGTGTCACTGTTATTTTTTACAAATTTTATAAAGTCGGTAATTATTTTTAGATACATGTGGTCACCCAAAGTTTAACATGCTTGACATATATCAATAGTAGATTTCGGTAAATGTTAATATTTTCCAATGCCATTAAAAATGGGCGTCAATTTAATAAATTAAGGATATCGTCGGCTTTCGAAAGCGTTATGAAAACGCCATTTTTTCAAACCAGAAGGGCGTGGCCTCTCGAATCCGGTTCTTGGTCAATGATTGGCTCTCTGATTGCTGTTCTGGGTTTATACTTACCGGTATTTTATAGTTACAATTCTCAAGTAGCGTAGTGTAGTACCTGTCGTCATGTGTGTTGTATCGTCGACTAAGGAGTAGTTCGTTGCCATACCTAATTTTGTGCGCTTGTATATTACTTGAGTCTCTTTAAATTAATATCCAATTCATATCGATTGCAAAATATTAATCAGCTTATAATTTAAATTTTAAGTAAATCAGTTGTTTTATTTTGTCGATTGGGTTACGGACTTTCAAATTTTAGATTAACTAGTGTTTAAAATCTTATTAAATGGTAATCATATAATGATTGCTTCGGAAGCTCCCTTAAGACCGCGTAATCATTGTACGGGAAGTGTGATGGACCTAACCACACACGCTAGATCTATAAACAGTGGTGAAAATAATGGCGGAGGAAATTCTGGTGGAACCAACAGGCCTGCAAAATCCATATTCTCCATAAGAAGTTTAGTCAATGTTGACGATGGACCCTGCGTAATGCCCATTATCGTACAAGAAGAATCATCTCCTGGTAAGGATTTTTTTTTAAAAACAAAGAAAATCAAAACTAAAGTTATATTGTTCAACAAAATTTGAGTTATAAAATGCTAATGAAAGTTAAGATTCAATTTGAATATTTGTAAAATTCCGTTCGTTTCCTACATGACCTTTTAATTATATTTATAGTCTCATGATGATAATTTGTACAAATGTTAAAATCATTTCCTAAAGTTTAAACCTTTGATATGGATTTTTAAAAAGTTGAGTTAAAAAAGGTATAACTGGAATGTTATCTAAAACTTTTTTTGTTAATTTTTATGTTTTTATTACTTGTTAAATGAATAGAAAATGTTTCAAAAGGATTCATAAAATACTAAAATTGTGTAATTTTTAGTTGATATGAAAAAAACTTAATAAGTCAAAAATAATTGTAATAATAAATATTATTTTCATTTAAATTCTCTAAGTATAGTTAAATTTTGTAAACAAAAGTACAGACGTATGTACTTTTTTTAATACAATTCTATATTGCAAAGTCAGACCCTAAAAATGTCAACTATTTAATTAATTATAGCAAAAAAAAACTATTAAAAATAGTCGAATGTTAACATAATATCCGTCAGGATATAGTTTTGATAGAAAAATGATAATAAGAAAAATGGAACAAAGCTATGATGAAGATATTAAATGGTCATTTCAAAATAGTTTCTGTAATATATATATATATATATACACATTTATTTGATTTTGTGTGATTTATATTCATTATAAATTATAACCAAAAATTTATAATAATTACTATCTTTATATCTAAATCAAAAATTACATTACCAACATCATTATTTCTGTATATTTTAAAAGTGTTTTACTTCGACTTGCAATATCTTTACTAAAAAAATATGTTTAAGCCTTAATTGATAAACGATTTAAATTAATTAATCTCTTAATTTTGCATTAAATTTTACACGCAGATATACTATTTAAATATCAATAAGTTGACTTTATTATCAATATTTATGTAACACGATCAAATTGTTAATGTCGGTACCACGTAGTAATGATTTTGTTGCAGTATCCTTAATTAAATTATAAAAACAGTTAATATCTCTATTGTTCTTGAAACTTACTATATGATTTAAAAAAACATCATAACGATTGAGGATTGGGATTAAGAAACCTCTTTGGAGGAGGCCGGAATGAATTATATAGATAAGAAAATAAAAGATTCTTTTCACTTTTTATCGTAATAATTTTTTAAATATAAAATATATTTTTCACCTACTCTCTCTAGTAAGAACTCGATGTTGGCGAAAAGTATTTGACAAATTTATACAGATATTTAAAATAAAATTGAACCATGATATTTAGGCACGACGTATTTATAAAGCCTAAATTAAGTAATTAGACAAATTTATAACAATTTTAATTTATATATAATTCGTCGATAATTTTATTTAATAAAAAATTGTTTATTGAAAAATAATCAACATTGTGTTAGAACCTTGTCATTCTCAAGCGACAACAAAATGTCAAATTTTTAAGCTAATTTTTTAACGTAGGTAACTTAAACTCACATTTTTAATTTAATTTTTTTGGAACATTAATTTATGTTTATAATAGAATCTATAGGTTATTAAACATTGTGTATGATAGCCAGTCAACTTTTCGGTTATTATTAAATTTGTGAATGAAATTTTTTAACTACTTGATGAAATTTATGTACTTTGAATAATTCACATGAAAATATCAAATTATATTTAATTATTTAGATTTTCAATTTAGGAAGTATCAAGAGTGTGTTTATACTGTAACATGTTATTTTTATAAATGTAATTTATTATTAATTCCTAAAAACTCGAGTTAAAAAAAAAAAAAATTGTATAGATAAATATTTTTAGAAAAAGTTATTTTATCCTGGATAAAAATCTTGTTTGTCAAATTTTGTGATTTGCACTTTTGCTGAGTAAACTGTTTCTGTTTGTTAATGCTTCTCAAATTTTACCCATGACAATACCCTTATGGGATTTTGAATTTTTTAGCGACCCTTATTATAGGTGCAATCATATTCTGGAGATCCTTGATAGTTCCGTACACTTACAAGAGAATCACTACTCGCCAGTTGATAAAAACTAGTATAAACGACGAATTATTTAATATTACTCGGAAGTTTTTTATTTTGTTATTTACTATTTTTAAGTCAAGTTATTGTTTGGAGTATAAAAATAGATATTAAATATTCAATGTAGTTTTTCAATTCGTTTTTACGAACAAAAAAAAAAAGATTATTTGTTGTAAATTTTAATATATCAATAGAATACAGTTTTGTTATTATTACACATAAACTGTCAATCATAACACCGTAAATAATAGAAATAGTTATAACGCAACGGAGGTAATAAATATGCCTATTTAACGTTAATAATGGAATGCTTTATTTTCACGTCAATCAAATTAACTTTGAATATACTACCACAGAAAAAACTACAGACGTGTGTGAGAATAAAGCTTACAGTTAAAGAATAATACGCAGGTATACTAGAAAATGCGATCTTGTAAATTTAATTTTTACAAATATAAATATTCACTATCTAAGTACATTTTTACTATTTTCTGAAGGTATGGAATAAAATATATTTTAAATCATCAACGTTTTTGCCTTTTACTATTGTTTATCTTGTATATAAATCAATTAAGTCATAAGATAAGTTAGATAAAAGGTGAAAGTATTCATTTAAATTTTTTAATTCGATGAATTTAAACCACGGGCATATTTGTGTATTTAAGAATAATTTTTTTTATTATAATATTGACTTGACTTCATACTGATAAATTGTGAGCCAATAAACCTTTTTTTTATTATAAAACTAGTAAACCGAGACACAAATTAGGGGGTTCTTCACTTAGTGATATTACCTTTCTTTACTTCAATAAACGGCTTTCTTGATATTTTTCTTTCTTTTCATTCATCTATTTTATCTTCAAATATGTAATCTAGGATTTCATCTTTTTAAATATACTGTGCTCATATATTTAAGAAAATTGCAATCTTGCGGGCTTCGTATCACTTTATTTATTTGTTTAGTCAAATTTCGTTTTTAAGTTATGTAAATTACTATTTCTTCTATTAATCCCGAGAGGACACGGTTAAAACATGTCCTTCAATAAAGTTAATTTGATAAAAAAAAAACAAATGAACTAATGTAGTATTACCTAAGTTTTGTGGGTTTCTTTGAAATTAAAAAAAAAATTTATAGATTGATTATTTAGCCTAAAAACAACAAAAGACTTGTGAATAAGAGTAATACGTCATATTTGAATTAAAGAGTACATTAAAAGAATGGAACGTTTTTTTTTGTTTATTTTATTATTAATTGAACAAATTATCACAAACCAACACGATATTTTTTCATAACAATATCGTTTTTATATATTGTATTAACAAATTTGCGACTGTTTCAATATGACTATTAAAAAATTATTATTTAATATATTCGTTGTGTTACCGGCTAATAATCAATATTAATGTTATTATTTAGTAAAATAGAGCAATCGGCCTTCAGTTATTTTATACAAACCAATATTATGTATATAGTGATAAAATAATAGTTTAATATAATTTACTCACAATGGTCGGTTGCGGCTAGCGGCAGCACCATTATTATTTTTTTATTATAAATTCCCAGAGGCCACTGCAATTACCGCTGTAACCTTAGATCGAATTAGTCGTTAGCGTGTATATTACGTGTATACAGCTCAGTTGGGCGGATCCGAAAATTAATGAAAAAATAAGTGCATTTTTCACTGTATACGCTAACTAATCATACGTGGGTCATCAATTTTTTTTTAACTTAGTAATATTAATTAAAAAATTCATATTGTTATTTTTTAATCGTGATTAATAAGTAAACTATCTTATGTAAATAAACTTAAATTTTATAACATTTACTTAGAGTTTCATTCATAATAATACTGCACAATATTTTTAACACGGATTCAATACATTTAATAGTAAATTAATTGTGCTCTATACATTAAAATTATTTTGTCAATTTTTTTTCGTGTTGTCAAAATCAATATCATTGAATTTCAATTGGCGACCGTTTTCGATTCTTTAAAAAATGCTGGAGTAGCCTATTTTGAATTATAAAAGTCAAGAGCGTTGCATGTACAATAGAACTGTATTGCTGCTTTAAGTACATGATAAGTCGGAGATTTAAGACTGTTCTAGCTTAGTTGTCATTCATAATTATTATTCATATTATTTTTTTGTTAAAAGTAATTTCTTAACTGAATAAAATCAAAAATCTACTTAATGAGAAATGATTCTGTAAAAAGAAATAACTATTAAAATGAGATTTTAATTACGGAAAATTATGTGAACCAGCAGCACGCTAAGTTTAAAATTTAATTTAGCTTTAAGTTTATTTATACTATAATCATTTGTAGCTTTGAATGTAATTATTTTTTATTTTGCACACATAATGAAGATAACAAGATATATGTTATGAAAGCTGATTTTATTGTAAATTATTTAAGTTCTTATTTTAAATTGATAGTAATAAAAAACGACGGAGATTTTCCTATCTAGTAATCTTCAAAATTTAATTTAAAAACTAGAAAATTAGATATTTTTTTAAATAATTATATTTAATGAGCTCTACAAAGCGTATCGACTAATAATTTATTACTCGCATGGTTCTTATCAGATAGAATTGTTGTATGTACTCAGATTACTCTTTTTTTTTTTCAATTGAAAATACTCTGTTTCGTGACATAATAAATATGATTTGTATACTAATAATGTCAAACATTATTTTATTATACTCGGGTGGTCCTCTACTATACCAATTATTCTTTTGTAATTTCAATATAAAAAAAAAAAAAGAACTTTGTTAGTCCAAAATAAGACTTTTAAAAAATTAATATGTAGTCGTGTAAATAAATAAAACAATGTTCCCTATTAAGCATTAATACTTTTGTTTAACTATATACACATTATACAAACAATTTTCGTAATTTAAATTTAATGAT